GTCTTGACGTCACGACGAAACGCTTTATGACTCGTTTGAAAAAGACTTTTGAAAGATAATAACTTAATATACGGTGCACTCGTGTGTGTGCGGGTTGTGGGACAATAAAACGATTTGAGGGTCTCCCTCAATAGAAATATCAACAACAAAAAAAACATCTAAAAACAAATAAATTGTTATTAATCTGTTGATGAAAAAGCAACAAGAACAACTAAAACAAAATAAAAACAAGCAGAGTTTCTATTTATAACATATTTTGTAACATTGTGCAATGTAACCAATCACAGACATATGTGTTGATTTCTTGAACGCAATGGCCAATCAGATGCATTTAAGATAGACTCCCCTCACCGCTCAAAACAGAGTTTTTGTTCAGTGATGAATTATGCATGCTGGCAAATCCTCTGATTATAGCAAAGAAAATGTGGATATTATGAAAGATTAATTATGCTGTCAGCTTCTTTGATAATAACAGAGATTTGTAAGATCGCAATGAACTGAGGTGTCAGCTTTTTAGGTATTATTCAATTTGTATTTTTGAAATTAAGCTTGATGAATAAAACTTATATTACATTTCATTACTTTTGTGTTATTTTGGTGGTCGAGAAGACATCAGTGTGTGTGGATGTCAAACAGACGTCAAGGTTTCAACATGAGTTTGATTTGCATATTTGACCTGTTTTTTGATGTCAATGTTTGATGTCAATTTGATGTCTTTTCAACATCAATTGCCTGCTTAATCTCATACAGAACCTGTGGTCAATCCTCAGAAGGCGAGTGGACGAATTGTGATCATGTCCGCACTAATAAGGCAAGAATGGATCACCTTCAGTCAGGATTTGACCCAGAAGCTGATATCCAGCATGCTGGAGTGAATTGAAGAGGTTATGAAGAAGAAGGATCAACACTGTAAATATTGATGCTTTGACTATATGGAATATATTTTCCAACAAAAGCTTTTCCAACTAAGGAAATGCTTATTGTTTTCCAGTATATCATAAAAACTTGAAAAAAAATATCTTTGAATGAAAATGAAAAAAGGTTTAAAAAGAAAATAATTGTTGTTTATGTGTGTTAAACAGTGAGAGTACACACACACACACACACACACACACACACAATTACTATTAATTTTGCACAATTGTTAACATTGAACAATATTACTGTATTCATTGTTGCATATTTGTTTGTTTTGTTTTTTTTGAGTCTGTGGCCCTAAATTAGTTTTTAATTAGATTGACAACCCTTTATTGTTATAATGTATAAATTGTATACTGGTTTCTGCACACCAATATGAGTATTTAGCCATTAACAGAATCTCACATATTTGATTTAATATCATTGATCAACATTCATTTAAATATGTATTTCACCAAGAATTTAACTTTGAACGCAGCTGATATTTGGTGTATTATTTGTATGTCAATTTCGCACATTTCAGATTTTAGTGCATGAATAAGACTTTTATTTTGGAGTGGAGAGATGACGTCATAAGGGCGCGCCGCGCTCCTGCATCTGTTGTGATTCTGCTGAAGACAGGTTTGTGTTTTAAGCATTTAAAGTGTTTAAATCAATTTAATCGTTTTTACAAGCTATGTAAAATAAATGAATAAATATTGAATGTAACATTACAATAGGTTATCTAACATTAATGACCGTTATTTGACTGCTCTTATGAGTAACCCCTGTTCTGGACGCGCTATTCCCACAACAACCCGCTGAAAGAAACGGCAACTAAACCCAGATAATTCTCAACGTTTTATTATAACAGTATCCTCATTATAATGACAGTCCCAATCATAGTTATTAATGTGCATTGCTGTTTGAGCTGTGTGCCACAGATGAGAATCTTGCGCTGGCCAGTGTTACACAGACTAACGTTAGGTTACTGGCGTGCAGCATCACGCAAAAATAAAGGTTTACAGTAACGGACGCGACTGTTAATACGTTATTCGTAGTGACCCATGATAGATTTATTTCGTGTCTTTCCTAGAATGGGCAGTTTGAGACTTTGCGAGATAAACAACATACAACACATATCAAATACAGACGTGACACAAATAACACGTTTGAAAAAATATTACTGGCTTTAATGCTTTTAATTGATATTTAAAAATATCACAAAATATTTTTTTATTTAGGATTTTGTGTCACAATACGTCAGGATAGGTGCTCGATTAATCTGTCACTACTGGAGGTGTCACAACATACGGTGTCATTCAGGTGTCATGTCAGTTTCAGTGTGTTGCCATAATGCCAGTGACACATGCCACTATCCACTGTATGCCAATGAAGACCGGATGTGCCAATACGCATAGTGGCGTGCCATTGGCTTCTGTGCGTCAGATGCCATGTCACTTAATGTTAATACTGCTACTGCTCTGAAGTGTCTCAGCTAAAGGAAATAATTCATTATCTACCGGCTTTAATATATCGGCCTAATTTTCTTATCGGATTAATAACAATAACGTTAAAAATTACCATTATCGGCCAATATCGATATATGGTCGATATATCGTGCATCTAATATATAATATTAGTGGGTATTGGGTAACACTTTATATTACGACCCGCAAACAACTGCGTAAGTAAACCGAAATTACGGTGTACGTTTCTGTAATTATAGTGTACTTCCGTGTAGGTATAAGGGAACAATATGTTAAGTTTTGGGTAATAAAGGGGTACAACCAGATATACAAGCAAATTATTTATAATGTAATTATTTTAAAACTAACAGGTAACATATTCTATTAATATATTCCAGGCAAAAATTGTACGTCTGTTGTATATAAACGTTATCATCACATTTCTGGCAAAATATGTTCTTGTGCAATGTAGTTACAGGGTAATTTTGACATCTGTGGGTTGTAAATTAAACATATATATATATATATATATATATATATATATATATATATATATATGTCTGTATGTAAGCACAGTATGATAAAAATGTAATTTATTGGCTTTTCTTACTAAACTACTTCACGTTAAGCCTAAAAAGTTAAAACTAAGAAGTTAGTTCCTGCTATGATTTTAATTTAGACCGTACCATGTAGTACTTAGTACTTACCTTATCACATTGTATTGCAATGACACTTAAATGTCAGGGCAAATATACTGTGTAATTAAAACGTTTTTTTTATTTATTTATTTTATTTTTTTATTAGAGTAACTTTCTCTGTAATTACTGTGCAAATAGTGTTGTTTCGTATTGTTACATAGTAAGTAGTGTTTGTTACCCGTTTCAACTGTGTATTTACAGGGTAAGTGTAACTCCTGCGGGCTGTAAATTAAAGTGCCGCTTGTTACATATTGTTCCCTTATACCTACACGGAGGTACAGTATAATTACAGAAACGTACACCGTAATTTCGGTTTACTGTTTGCGGGTCGTAATATAAAGTGTTACCTATTAGTGCTCTCAATCGATTTGAAAATCAACTAATTAGGCCATCCTTAAAAATATTTTGGTTTGCAGTAACAGCAAAAAAAAAAAAAAAAAGGGTCGGTAGGTAGGTCTATATTTTTTTTTTTTCAAAATTCAATGAAAAAAAAAAGGACAATTTTGGTCATGGTGATTACGTCGGTATGAATTTAAACAAATTTGCATATCGTGACGCCACTGACTGGGTCTTCAACTCATGCCTTTGGGCGCACCATTGCGAATCTCATTCTGATACAGGTTATAGACAACAAACAATTTGAAATCTTTGTCAAAAAACATGTTTATTGCATTAATTCCAGCTGCATTCATTTGGGGAAAAAGAGTGGATTTTCAGAGGGAAACAAATAAATTAATGACTAATCTCACCAGCGCCGCGCCGACCAATAAAACAGCGCATTTGGCACTATTCGTTTAAATTGGACCCATAAACATCTGCTATTATTAACGGAAATCAGTGAGGTCAAATGGCTAGGCGCATTGTAGAAACTATATTAAGTAGTCCTGACATATTATGGAATGGTCGATTTTCTTTAGTGTAATTTAGTACATTTCGGTATGGGATGTGCTGTTTTATTGGTCAGCGCGGCGCTGGTGAGATTAGGTCGCGCAAGCAAACACTTCCTCCCTGCGCTGTCGAGTCTGTCGCGCTCGCGCGTCTCGGTCCATTCAGCCACGCAGATTAGCTACATGTCCGCGCTGCGCGAACTCTGTAACACCCCGCCGTTTCGTCCCACTTTGGGTGTGTTTGGCTTCCCATACTTATGTGTGTTTGTCAGAGCCTGCCGTTGCTGTGTGACGCGCGTTCGCGGCGGCCATATCGTGACGAGCTGCTGGACGCGCTCCGAGAAAAGGCCGTTAACATCTATTCCCTATTTGACCATTAAGAATTTCGAATAATGAGCGACTAAATGTAGGCTCATACAGACGTATTTCACAAGCAGCCGCGCCGCAGCCATCATCACCGAGCGCGAACCATTGACAGTGAATGAAATGAATCGAACGCACAGGCCATAGTGTGACATGCGTAAACCAATGGTGTAAACATAATCATCATATAGATGACGCCACGGGTTTTTATTTAAAAGAAAGAACGTAGCCTGCTTACTATAATATAATTGATATTTTATTGCATTTGTATTAGTTGTTTGAAGAGTAAAAAAAAATCGGTCGGTCTTAATGCAAATTTACAACCGGCAAGTCGGTCGGACTAAAAGGGAAAAAAAATAAAAAATTGGGTCGGTCCTAAATTGACAGGGTCGGTCGGGTTACGGCAAACAAGAATATTTTTAAGGATGGCCTTAATCACACAATTTTCCTGTATTAATAATGATTAATCGTGATTAAAAATATCAGATTTTTAAAATATTTTTATATTTAATAATTTCAGTTACTCTACAAATAAATCTTGGACTAATTCCACATGTGCTTCAGATGCTATCATGCTGGAGGCGTTCCCCAAAGTGTCGTCTTCATCGAAAGGGAACTGGAGCTGATTTAGGCGCACCCAGAGAATCAGTTTTGATGTGTTTTTCTTTCTGTTACTTATTCTCATCCTAAACAGGACAGTGTCCAAACACACAGAAAAACTCCTGGTGAAGCGACTGAGATCCATGTGACGCAGTATTATAAAGATGGCGTTTAAAGAAAGGAGTGAAGACATGAAGATTGAAGAAACATTCAGAGTGAAACGTGAAGATACTGAGACACAAACTGAGATGGTGTTTATTAAAGAGGAGAGTGAAGACATGAAGATTGGAGAAACATTCAGAGTGAAACGTGAAGATACTGAGACACAAACTGAGATGGTGTTTATTAAAGAGGAGAGTGAAGACATGAAGATTGGAGAAACATTCAGAGTGAAACATGAAGATACTGAGACACAAACAAAGATGGTGTTTTTTAAAAAGGAGAGTGAAGACATGAAGAGTGGAGAAACATTCAGTGTGAAACATGAAGACACTGAGGAACACACAGGTTGGTTTCATTCTCAAAGCTGAACTCAGTCATTTGATCCTTATTAAAATGTCCAGCTCTACGAATGAGTGATATATTTGAAGAGTGTCCGAAATAAAGTGGTTTTATTTGACACAGAGCGGGTCGCCTCATGTGGACATGTTGAGATCACAGGACCAGACAAATACTAATGCTGCTTCAACCTAAAAAGATCCGACTTCCATGTTGGACATTTGTTATTGCAACGTCACGCATTAAATTAGGCAAAATAATACAGATTTATTTATTGGGAATATACTACATACAATTATGAAATATGTAAATAGGAGCACCAGCACATTCCCCTTAAACACTCACCTAAAGGATTATTAGGAACACCTGTTCAATTTCTCATTAATGCAATTATCTAATCAACCAATCACATGGCAGTTGCTTCAATGCATTTAGGGGAGTGGTCCTGGTCAAGACAATCTCCTGAACTCCAAACTGAATGTAAGAATGGGAAAGAAAGGTGATTTAAGCAATTTTGAGTGTGGCATGGTTGTTGGTGCCAGACGGGCCGGTCTGAGTATTTCACAATCTGCTCAGTTACTGGGATTTTCATGCACAACCATTTCTAGGGTTTACAAAGAATGGTGTGAAAAGGGAAAAACATCCAGTATGTGGCAGTCCTGTGGGCGAAAATGCCTTGTTGATGCTAGAGGTCAGAGGAGAATGGGCCGACTGATTCAAGCTGATAGAAGAGCAGCTTTGACTAAAATAACCACTCGTTACAACCGAGGTATACAGCAAAGCATTTGTGAAGCCACAACACGCACAACCTTGAGGCGGATGGGCTACACAGCAGAAGACCCCACCGGGTACCACTCATCTCCACTACAAATAGGAAAAAGAGGCTACAATTTTTAAGAGCTCACCAAAATTGGACAGTTGAAGACTGGAAAATGTTGCCTGGTCTGATGAGTCTCGATTTCTGTTGAGACATTCAGATGGTAGAGTCAGAATTTGGCGTAAACAGAATGAGAACATGGATCCATCATGCCTTGTTACCACTGTGCAGGCTGGTGGTGGTGGTGTAATGGTGTGGGGGATGTTTTCCTGGCACACTTTAGGCCCCTTAGTGCCAATTGGGCATCGTTTAAATGCCACGGCCTACCTGAGCATTGTTTCTGACCATGTCCATCCCTTTATGGCCACCATGTACCCATCCTCTGATGGCTACTTCCAGCAGGATAATGCACCATGTCACAAAGCTCGAATCATTTCAAATTGGTTTCTTGAACATGACAATGAGTTCACTGTACTAAAATGGCCCCCACAGTCACCAGATCTCAACCCAATAGAGCATCTTTGGGATGTGGTGGAACGGGAGCTTCGTGCCCTGGATGGGCATCCCACAAATCTCCATCAACTGCAAGATGCTATCCTATCAATATGGGCCAACATTTCTAAAGAATGCTTTCAGCACCTTGTTGAATCAATGCCACGTAGAATTAAGGCAGTTCTGAAGGCGAGAGGGGGTCTAACACAGTATTAGTATGGTGTTCCTAATAATCCTTTAGGTGAGTGTATATAATACCGAAACCAGAGCGTTGCTTTGTCTAGAGTGCAGGAAAGAAGCGCTGTTGCCAGATTGGGCTTGGTCGAGTTAGGGAAAAAGTTTGGATGTCTGCACTGCACTACATTATTTTTCTGTGATCATTTATGTATTAAGATAACATGACTAAAAATAAAAGCGAAGGAAAATTGGGCTGCTTTTTATTTTAAAAAGCATCCCGATTTTTGTCCACCGGCGGGTGCTTATTTTTTCGGTCCAACCCGATTAAAAGTGATGGCTCTTCATCGTGAGTGACGGGGTTTTAGCGCAATTTTGAGAGTGTATCTGTATATTCAAGCGATCGCAATGCCAAAGTGGCCTGAACAAATTACAAGTTACACCGTGAAGAATGGGAGAGTGAGCAACTACCGAAGGCTCTTAGTAAATTATAATTTTAACTCTGAAATCAGGGCACGATTAAATGACTTAATCAAAATATATGGACTCCTGTCCAGCATCAGGTCATCTTTTAAACCGACTAAAAAATCTTAGGTGCAGTTTAGTCTTCGAAATTAGTCATCAGACACAATCGCTCCTGGCAACAGATGCATAAGGGATAGCTAGCATGTTATCTTAGCATCAAAACATAACAATTTATTTGAGTTTAAGATTGTTTTTGTTTTAAACTCACTATATAACGGCCAGTCCCGGTCCTATACCTCTGTCCGGTGGCATTCATAAAAATACAATATGACCCCCAACCCCTTAAACTGTTCTTCAGAGCAGTTTCCCTGTCAACCAACAACAGTGAGTTGAAACGTTCAGTAATACAATAAAAAAAAGATGTGCATGAAATGAAAAATTTAACCTACTATTAAAAGTAGCCTAATATACAGAAATTTAATCAATAAACGACTTGCGTGCTTTGCGTATAGGGAGGACCGGCACTGATAAGTGCAGTCGAGTGTTTGAAATAACTTCCTTCTGAGATCTGCTCAGGATTCTTATCATAGAATGAGGAACAAAAATATATTAACTTCTAGTATTCTATGCAATAATAAAGTCTATGCCGATTAGCATCGAATTATACTTATTCATTCTTATAAATACCTGATGGCTTTAAGAATACAGATGGTTAGTGACAATAGGTTCGACTTTATTTTTATAGTCCACTTTAGACATTCTAGTAACTATAAGTAACTTTTCAACTACATGTCAACTAACTCTCATTAGAGTATTAGTAGACTGTTAGGTTAGGGTTCGGGTTAGGAGAATAAGTTGACTTGTAGTTGCCAAGTTACTTATAGTCAGTTGAATGTCTGCTGGGGGACCAACAAAATAATGTGTTAGCAGATATTAATTAGACAGTCTACTAATACTGTAATGACAGTTAGTTGACATGTAGCTGCAAAGTTACTTAGAATTAGTAGAATGTCTAAAGTGGACTATCGAAATAAAGTGTTACCTGACAATATGGTTATATTGTCTCAATCGTGTGTTTGCTGTCATCTTTATTCAGTCAAAATGTTTCTATCTGCTTTTTATTTAGCTGGTGTGAAAGCTGGATGACTTTGTGCATAAGGGACTTCATGTCATAAGTTTTATGACTTCTATGAGTCTCACTTGTGGACTTTCTGCGCGAGGGCGCCCTCTAGCTTCGTTTATGAATGAAACCCATTACTTGTGTGTTTAGCGCTGCATAATCCTCACAACACCCCTATTTGGGTAAAAATAGAAAGAAAAAAATACTCCTCTCAAAAGAAATGTGAAATAAACATGAGAATCCATGTGTTTTTCTCAGAATGAGCACAGTCGTGGACTAAAAGCCCTGAGGTACAGAGTTTAGTAAGGAACTCTAATAATAAGTGTGCATGAGTTTTTTCTCAGTAGATGCATAAGAAAATCATTATTATATAAATTTTAAATGCATGGACTTAGTTTTTGATTTGCATACCTTTTGGTAAAATTAAAAAATTACTGTCATTATAAGATATTAAAACTTTTACCTTTCTAATGTATCAATACTAAATAAAGGGACTCATTAATTTACTCATGCAATATAAATATATATATTTCTGTCATGACAATTCTTGGAGACATTGGCATTGATGGATATGGCAATTTTAATGTATTTGGTCTTGGCACAATAGGCTAGATCTGCTAAGCTGCTGCTGCAGAGCAAGTACAGAGACTTGGCTACTGCCAATACATTCACAGACATGCTAATTTGCATATTTAAACATAAATATTCTAAAAACTTGTAATACAAAAGATATTTGTCTTAATGTCAGTAATCAACTGGGGAAGTTACATGCTGATATCTATTAGGTAATTTTTTCCCCTATTCACCTTGGGTGTCTCCCCGTAACTGCATTTCATGATCAAAGTGATTCCAGGCATTACTGCAGTGCGTGCTTTCCAATCCAGTTTCACTTTATTTCGCCGGTCTGGAAGGCGTGCTGTCTAACTCTAACAAATCAGATCTCAGGAACCGCCCCCAATCAGAAAAAAAGATTTTTTTTTAAGTCAGGGCGATCATCGTTTTCATGATCGATCATCGCTGTCACTAACGAGTACTCGATCACTCTTGCCATCCCTCCTATTGAGCTGAATTTAAACAGTACAGATTGCATGATGGAGAAAAGCAAAACTCTTAAGCGCTCAGTCAGAGTCTCAGTGAGTGAAAATATATCTATGCAAAACTTATACTTAGCCTCTAACACACACACTGGCGAGTAAAATCTAAGAGTTTATTAGCCAATTGCTAATGATAGACATTATTTAGTCGCCCAGAGTGAAAATTTTGTCGCATATGCGAGTGATTTACTTGCATTGTGGTGATGTTTGGCTGGACGCTAGTTTAGACTGGGGTAGAGACTCTCCAGACAGCGTAGGATGGCCTCCCTCTGTTATTTTTGATGTCTGGAAGCTCTCTTGGATGGTAATGGTTTGCCCCAGTTAGGGATGTCACGGTACCAAAATTCCAGTAGTCGGTACCGATACCATTAAAATTTTACGGTTCTCGGTACCAATTTCGGTACCACAGCAAAATCTGTTTGAACTATTTTTCCAATTTATTTAACTATTTGAAAAAATATATTAAATTCAATTCAATGACTTTATTATTTATGACGGTAAGTTTATGAAAGCATTGAAGGCTACATGCTGTTTAAACGAAAATATTGATGATATTGAGAAATGAAAAAGTGAAAAATAAGCAACCTTCTATGCACACATTATTATTAGTAGTAGTAGTATTTTTAATTAATGGAGACGTAGTTAAATATATTGTACTGTAGCCTAATATAATTATTTCTGCCAATTTCTTTAAGTTAAACCGAACTTTTATTTTGACGGGTTGCCGTGAAGACCTTGAGTTTCTGTGCGTGTATGATATGACGATAGTTTTTCTCAAATGAAACGGTAAAATGCTCATGAAGTGACTCTCAGAGTGGCTCTGGAGATGAATTGAATCATGAATCAT